TCCTAATTTATTTGGTTTTTTTCCCGCAAAAATTGAGAAGTAATTTTTTGAAATCCTGTTTTTGTGGGTTTCATGAGCTGGAAGCCTAAATTATGTAAAAATAAACAAATAAATACATGAAATTGTAAAAAAAAAAAAAAAAGAATTATTTGTATACATGTTTCTTGAAATTGAGAACACAAGAGGCCAAAGAGAAATATAAGAAGTATAAAAATAAATTAGTAGAGGTTATAAGGAAACACAAGAAGGAATATTATAGTGCTTTATTAAATAAAAGTAATGGTGATATGAAAGCTACATGGCGAGTAATAAATAGTGTTCTGAAAAGTCATAAAGCAAAAACAGGTATTTCACAATATTTTTTGAAGGATGACAATGAAATCTATGATGAAAATTAAATTGTAAATGGATTTAATCATCATTTTGTGGACGTTGGATCAAGCCTTGCAGCTAAAATACCAAAAGTAGACAATAATGTGAACCATTCAGTTATAAGTTGTGACAACAGTATTTTTCTTAATGGAACTGACAAAGAAGAAATAATGAATGTTGTAAAAAATCTTACAAAAAAGATCAAAAGACTGGGTGGACATGGATATGATGTTTGTAAAGGACATAAATGGTGTAAGATCTGATCTGCGCAATATCACTTGTGGAGTTCCTCAAGGCTCTGTACTTGGACCAAAGTTATTTATTTTATATGTGAATGACTTAGTGAATGTATCAGGACTCCTCAAATGTGTCCTTTTTGCAGATGACACCACATTTTTTTGTTTGGGTAAAGATGTAAAACGGATGTTGGAATTGTGATGAAGACAGAATTTGATAAAATACAAACTTGGTTTAAAATTAATAAATTATCATTAAATTTAGATAAAACTAAATACATGATATTTAGTAACAAAAAGAGAACTGTTGATGATCCATTTAAAATTGAGGGTGTTGAGATTTGTAGAGTTAATGAGATGAAATTTTTGGGTGTAATCATTGATGAACAGCTAACATGGAAAAATCACATCAATTCTGTAAGAACAAAAATATCTAAATCTATTGCAGTACTATACAAAGTCAGGGAATTATTAAATGATAAAGCTCTGTACATGTTGTATAACACAATCATTGTTCCACATTTAATCTATTGCATTGATGTTTGGGGGAAAGCGTGTAAAACATTTACAAAACCTATTTTTATTTGACAGAAAAGAGCTGTAAGAATTATCTCCAGAAAGCATTACAGTCACCCATCAAGCACATTATTTTATCAACTGAAGTTATTGAAGTTCCATGATTTGGTAGATTA